GCAGATCAGGCACACATGCAAAGTAATGATCACACCAGAAAAAATGCCGGTCCAGCTATAAAAAGAGCAACCCAAGCACAACATTAGTGCTTGAAAATGTGTAGCCACTCTATTGCTGGTTTTTATCTAGCTTTAAATTAAACATGTAGTGGGGCCCTGGGATACTCGAGGTTAACTCGAGGCTCCTGAAGTTTTCTAATGATTATGAGGCCCGAGGAGCTCCGTTTTTAAGTTTCAGCTGAAGGAAGGTGTGACGAGACGCATGCAGCTGAGAGAGGATAAAGGGAATTAAACTGAGAGGAGCAGCAAGGTAAAAAAGGAAAGCAGAGATGTAGATAGGGAAGGGACTATTCAGGCCTTGTAGGTGAGGATGAGGACTGCAGGTGGTAGAGAAATGGACCCAGATTCAGGTGGGAGGCAGGAGCGGGTAGCGGAGATGACCTGAGCACCAGCATTTGGGATAGGCTGAAATAGGGGTATATAAGCAGTAGGCAGGCAGGGTGGTTGTGAGGGCAAGCAGTGGAAAAAGGCTTTGGAGATCTGAGTTTAGTCCCTGGCCCAATAAGACTTCCCTGTGATTTTGGCAGGCTCTCAAGTCCCTATCTGTAAAATGGGTCTAAAGGTCCTGTTCTCATTAGATGCCGTCATGCTGAATTCATTAGTGTATGAGACAGATCCCGTGAGACAAGCCACATGAGGTAACCTTCATCTGATCGATGTTAAATAATGAGATATATGAAAATGAATGTGAAGGGTGGTCTCATATACAACCTTCACCAGCATCACATCGTGTTGCTGGACCGACCCTGTGGCATAATGTGAAGAGAGAGGCTTTTAAAAAAATATTTGGCTTTTTGGAGGACATGTTGCCTATCGTGGTTTAAACAACTTGCAGTGTAAGTCACTTGCCAAATCTCTTTAAACCTAGCATTTTAGGAGAAACCCTAGTATTTTAGAAGGCGCTCCTCCAATTTTACATAATATTAGATCATTAACATGAAACTTACCTTTTCTCAGGCTTTAAGCACGTGCTTTATTTAAAATCAGTATATTTTAAAGAGAGAGACAGGACAATGACACCCACATCTCTAGGGACCCTAGAAGCAGGGTCCCCCCACACTGTCTCTAAGGCGCCTGTATATTACCCTGCCTCTAGGGTCCCTATAGATGTGGGTGCCATTGTCCTGTCTCTAGGGTCTCTATGGATCACACTGCCTCTAGGGTCCCTATAGATGTGGGTGCCATTGTCCTGTCTCTATAGATGTGGGTGCCCCCATCCTTTTAGCTGTTGAAAGTCATGGGTGCCTTGGGTGCAGCAGAGTGATATTACAGCCCCAGGCATTACCACCTCTGGTGTTCACTAATGAATGAAAAATATCTCTCTATGGATCACATAATTTGGAGTAGTATCTTATATGCATTTAAATGCATGAACATTGCCATTTAAGTGCAGCTGCTTTTAGGGTGCAGCATAGCCAAGGACAGCTGCACAAATAGATAGGGGACAACCCCACCTCTCACAGTGTCCTGGGGGGTGTTGTCTACACAGAGCAGATGGGAGGGGGACTGAAAGGCCTGAGCCAGAAAGGGCACACAGCAAAGTGCTGGGTGTTCATTGTAGCTACACCTGACTGACCGGAGGGTGCACAGCCCGAGCTCCCTGGTGCCAGGAAGTTTATGGGGCGGGTTCTCTGATGCATCCCATTTCTGCTGGGCAGCTCAGTGTGCGGGGCAAGCCGGGGCTCCTGGATACCCTCGTACTGTCTGGAGTCTCGAGCTCCCGGCACGCCCCAAGTTTCTTGTGTTCAGTGCCGTCGTGCTCCCCTGCCCTCCCCCTCCCTTCCCTCCTGTGAGCGCAATAGCTCGGCTGCTCCCATCCCTTCCCTGGCTCCCTATGACTTCAGCTTCCCCACCCTGTCTCTAGGGCTCCTATGGCCCGGGTGCCTGCCACCCTCTCTCAGGTGCCTATGGATTTGGATGTCCCCACCCTGCCTCTAGGTTCCCATGAGTTGGGCTGCCCTACATTTGGTCTCTGAGATCTGTATAGGTTTGGGGGTCCCCACCCTGCCTCTAGGCCCCTTAAAAAAATGGCTAACCCCCACACTGCCTTTAGGGTCCATATAGATTTGGATGCTCCCCACCCTGCCTCTCAGCTTCCTATGAATATGGGTACCCTGCATCCTGCCTCTGGGATCTGTATAGGTGTTCCTGCCCTGTCTCTAAGGTCCCTATAGATATCAGTGCCCCCCACCCTGCCTCTATGGATCACTCGGCCTCTAGAGTCCCTATAGATGCGAGTGCCCCCCTGCTTCTGGGGGCCCTATAGATGTGGGTGCCCCCGCCCTGCCTCTAGGGTCCCTATAGGTGTGGGTGCCTACCCCTACTTCTAGGGTCCCTATAGGGGGGGGTGCCCCCCACC